GATCGCTCTTCTCAACAATATGTCGTTCATCGTACCACAGGCAAGTATTTTTTTTCATTTTATTTCTCTTGCATTCTAACACAGCTCAAGAAGATCCTCTGTTCTTTTTTCAAATCTCCTTCACTAACTAATTGTTTTTTCTTTAGATTGACCCTGCCTGAATCGATAGTTTCATCTTCAAGTGGTTATAATTCCATTTAATTGGTCTTCTAAACGATGTTTCTCTTTTCGTACGACGAATAAGTACTCATTTCATTTTATGTCTGTTTCATTCTGAAGCAGCCGGAGAAAATCGTTTGTTTTTTTCAACTGTCACTATCTAATTCTTTTTTGTTTAGATTGACCCTGTGTGAATCAATGGTCTTATCTTCAAGTGGTTTATTATTCATTCAATTGCTCCTCTCAACATCAATTTATTTATCGTACCACGAATAAGTTTTTTTTCTTTTCATTTTAATTCTCGCTCATTCTGGAATAGCGGAAGAAAATCTTTCTTTTTTTCTTTTAGACTGTCATTTCATGGTATCCTTCAGTTTATATTCGCACTGTGGAGTTCAAGATCTGATCCAAATATAGTTTATCATTCCATTGAATCCCTCTTCTTAGCAGTGTTTCGTTCTTGGTACCACAAATAAGTATTTTTTTCGTATTATTTCCCTTCCATTTTGAGGCAGCTAGAGAAAACCATTAGTTTTCTTTTCACTTCCCGTTCACTAACTAAATCTTTTTGTTTAAATCGGTCCTGTGTGAATCAGTAGCCTCATCTTCAAGTGGTCTATCACGGATTCAATTGTTGCTCTCAACATCATGTCGTCCATCGAACCACGAATAGAATCTTTTCATCATTTTACTCCTCATTCTGAAACAGGTGAAGAAAATCGCATTTTTCTGTTACACTGTCCTTTCATAAATATCTTTCAGTTTAGATTTGCCCCGTAGAGTTTGTGATGTGATCCAGACATAGTTTAGACTTTGATTGCATTCTTCTAAATAGCGTGTCGTTCATCGTAAGAAGAATAGTTATTTCCTTTTTTTAGTTTTAGGTCTTTCTTATTAGAAGCAACGAAAGAAAATCATTTTCTTATTGTAAACTGTCGTTGAGCAGCTATTTTCTTGTTGTTTAGACTCAACCTGCTGAATCATGGTGTCATGTTGATTTGATTTATCATTGCATCAAATTGATCCTCTCAACAGCGTTTCATTCCTGGTCGCAAGAATAAGTATTTTTATTTTATGTCTTCTTCACTTTGAGGCAGATGGAGAAAATCGATTACTTTTTTTTAACACTCGTTCACTAACTAGTTGTTTTGTTTTGTTTAGATTGACTCTGTCAAAATCGATGGTCTCATCTTCAAGTGATTTATCATTGCATCGAATTGGTCCTATGAACAACGTTTCTCTTTTCGTAGAATGAATAAGTACTCATTTCGTTTCACTTGTGTCATTCTCAAGCAGCTGGAGATAGTGTTTTTTTTCTAAGTCTCTTCGACTAACTAATTTTTTTTTTGTTTAGACTTACACTGTGTGAATCAATGGTCTCAACTTCAAATGTTTTATGATCCATCCAATCGCTCCTTTCAACATCATTTCGCTCATCGTAACACCAATAAGTATTTTTTTCATGTTAGTTCTTCCTCATTCTGAAACAGCTGAAGAAAATCACTTTTTTTCTTTTAAACTGTCGTTTCATAGGTATCTTTCGGTTTACACTCGCACTGTGGAGTTCTGTATGTGATCCAGATATAGTTTATCATTTCATCGAATTCCTTCTTTTAATAGCATGTCCTTCCTTGTGCAATAAATATGTATTTGCTTCATTTTAGGTATTTCTCATTAAAGACAACTAAAGAAAATCATTTTGTTATTTTAAACTGTCGTTAAACAGCTAATTTTTTTGTTTAGATTCAACCTGTGCAATCAGTGGTGTGATATTGGTGTAATTTATTATCGGATGGATTGATCCTCTTAACAGTGTTTCGTTCTTCGTACCACGAATAAGTATTTTCTTTATTTTATGTGTTCTCCACTGTGAAGCAGCTCAAGAAAATCATTCGTTCTTTATAATTCTCCTCCACTAAAGAATTTTTTTCTTTATAGTGAATCTGTCCAAATCGATCATCTCATCTTCAAGTAATGTATCATTGAGTCGAATGAGTTCTCTCAACAGCCTTTCTTTCTTCGTACGACGAATAAGTATTTATTTCATTTTACATCCGTTTCATTCTCAAGCAGCAGGAGAAAATCATTTGTTTTTTTCCGATTCTCGTTCACTAACAATTTGTTTTGTTTAGATTGCCATTGTGGAATCAGAGGATCATCTTGGCGTTTTTCGCGTTGAATTTTTTTCTTTTTTTTAGCTATTGTTCTATTTAGGTGTTCAAATGCTGAAGCACGGTGTCGTTGGTCGAGTTTCTATTTTTGTGTTGGATAGCTGTTCGTATCAGTTCGCATATGGAAGTCAGCGATAAGTGTCTTTCTAAATTTGTAGTCATTTTTTACCGGAGATATTTATGAAATTTTTTTTTCATATGTAAGATTTTTTGTTAACTTATTCGTGATTTGTTCTCCAATGCTTACAATGAAATGCAGAGAGTGATTGAAATTGGTTTCGACACTGAGTTTAGAACTCCTGATTGAAATGGCTATGTGGACAATAAAGATGGACGAATTTAATCGTCATTAGCAATTCGTATGCATAATATTTTGAAGATTAACCAAGTAGGACACGCAATTTATGACAACAGATTTTCATAGCGCTATGTGTTTTTTGATTTAGATTGCATATATCAAGCATAATGATAATGATAGATATCTATTGGCTTTCGAATCGGTTGCTATCAATTGGACATCCAGGTAAGAAAATTCTTTTAGTATATAGCCACCTTTGTTTCGCGCTTTATCTCTTCAATTCGGGTATAATTTTCGGAAATATCCTGCAGTTTTTTAACTATTGATTCTTCATTTTGGGAATATTGAGTAATAATGTGTAACATCTTCGTTTAATAATAACCTCTCTCGCTGGAAACAATTCCTTATGCGCAACGTTTTGGCATCTTTAATGGATTTATGATACTTTGATGTTGTAAATGAAGACTTATCTCCATGGTTGGATGCCATCTCTATTGTTGCCAGTTTAGTTTATTTTGTTCTCTGGAGAACAGTTTCGTCTAAAGTATTGACTACAGTCGTTATTTCAACTTCCCCTTATATATATATATATTTTATAGTTTGCTGCAAGTTCAGTCAATGGTTCTCGTAAAAGCTTTTGATAGTTTTCTGTAGGAAATTCTGGTTTCCTCACCTTTTTTGCCTTGCTAAATTATTTTATCAAAAAGTTGTTTTCAGCTTTTCTAGTCTTGCTTCTTTCTTCTGCGGATACAATCGGATTGTTAAGGTTATCACATCATAGTTTCCCTACTTCTCGTGTTCCACAAGCAAACTCATTATTAGGTGAGTCTTCAGTCTTATGCAAGTCGCGTATTCCTTGGTTGATAGCTATAACATACCCTCTTAAATGACCATAATATGTGCATTGCCCGGAAATCATCCATTGTTTATGTAAATATCATTTGTGGTTTTTTCGCACACCATTGACGTTTTACCGCGAACTCCTGTATTCCAAAAAAGCTAAAAGCTGATGCCAATAAAAGCAATGATTGACAATCATTCGCAACCTCCTCAACCAGATTATCAGCTTTTCTCAGCTGATCCATCCCTACGTGACATCAATCTTTCCAATAGTTCAGCTGCGCTCGAGTCGCTCAATACCGTGCGCCACATACCCCAAACTTAACAGTTGAAGTCAATATATCTCTTAGTACACCTCAGTATAAACCGTTGAAAGTGTTTATCAAGTTAATATACCTATTGATATGCGCTTTCATACTCCGGAAGGAGCTGATGAAGCTAATATACCGATTAATATATCTGAGCATAAACTCTAGAAGAAGTTGTTGAAACTAATGTACCCATTAATATACGTCAGTATAAACCCTAGAAGAAGTTGATGAAACTAATGTACCCAATAATATAAGTTACCATAAACCTTTGAAGAAGTTGATGAAACTAATATACCGATTAATATACCTTACCATAAATCCTAGAAGGAGTTGATGAAACTAATATTTTCATTAATATACGCCTTCATGAACCTTTCAAGGAGTTGATGAAACTAATATACCCAGTAATATACGCGTTCATAAACCCTTGAAGGAGTTGATGAAGCTAATATACCCAATAATATACGCGTTCATAAACCCTTGAAGCAGTTGATGAAGCTAATATACCGATTAATATACCTCAGCATAAACCCTAGAAGAAGTTGATGAAACTAATGTACCCAATAATATACCTTACCATAAACTCGGGAAGCAGTTTATGAAACTAATATAACCAATAATATACGCGTTGATAAACCCTTGAAGGAGTTTATGAAGCTAAGATACCCATTAATATACGCCTTTATGAACCGTTCAAGGAGTTGATGAAACTAATATACCCTATAATATACGCGTTCATAAACCCTTGAAGGAGTTGATGAAGCTAATATACCCATTAATATACCTCAGCATAAACCCTATTAACGATTGATGACTTTCATAAACGCTTTTAGGTACTTTTTGTAAATCATGAACGAGGGTATCTTATTGTCATCAACCCTTTTTCAACGGGTTTTTGAAGCTTGCATATGAACGTTTATTACGCTTATCAACCCTTTTCATGGGTTTATAAAAGTGCAGCGTATAGCAAATTCTTTAAAGGTTTATGAGCATTATCAACCCTTTCATAAATCCTTAAAAGTCGATATTTGACACTCATAAACCCCATAAGAATCCCTTTTTTTAAGGTTTATGAAAAGGTTTATGACGCTGTAATAAACCCTCAAAAAGGGTTTGCTATACGTTGCACTTTTATAAACCCTTTTTTCGTTTTCTATTCTACGCTTTTTTTTTACAGTGTACTTACATATAAATTTTTGATTATTGAATATTATTGAAAATATGGTTAATATTCAGCCACATATTCAGAATTTGTTTCATGGTTATCGAATTCCAACAAATGGTAAGATATCAATTGATTTTTTTTTCCTCAAATAAAGATTTTTTCTTTTGTTGAGCAGGACAAGGTCAATATAAATGTTCACATTGTCGTGAATTGGTATTATTTGGTACAAGTAGACTCAATTGGATGATTCATATCAAATCGAAACGTGCACCTGAATTTGATAAGTTAGTTGGAGAATTACGTTTAGCAAAAAAAACTTATCAATGAAGCTGTTCAACGTATTCCGAGTAATGATCATGATCAGGTGAGATTTTCAACAGCACTTTCAAAACAAAAGAGTTTGCATAAATTTTCTTTATGATATCTGCAGTTGCATTTTGTATAAGGAGAAATACACAATGATTTCTCGTACTAATGTTGGAACATATATTCTCTTGATAGTTTCGATGTTTGAAATAACTTGTCAGTATATTGAACTTTCTTGTCACCTTGTCCTATCTTACTGAAACGAGAAAAAAATGTTTGAAGTGTATGTATGGTTCAAACAAACCTGTTCATTAGCATTCTTTCCATTTTTTAACTTTGTTGTTTGAAGAAAAATATTTTTTTCTTATGAATATAAATTTTTTAAATGTATATATATCATTTATATTCTTTTTTTCAGGATGTACTTCTTCATTCACAAAATTATAAGCGTGTAGAAGAAGCTGAACCAAAAGAAGAAATAAAGAACATACAAGTCAATTTACCCAAAGTAAAACAAATAAATATGTTGAAAACTTCATTCAGTGCTCATCTATAAATATTTTATTCTACTTGCTTGAAAATTTCATTTCGAAACTTCTCAAATATAGGGTGTGAGGTGTGGTTGTGGGTGTGGATCTTTTCTTTATTCACACCGACACCCAACCCCACCCACACACCCACCCCGCCCACAACCACACCACCCACACACCCACACCCACCCACACTCACCGCAACCCCACCCACACACCCACACCCACACCCATTAGTTCGATCTTATATCTAAAAGAACTCACTGCATCATATAAATTCTTCGAAAATCTTGAAAAGACCAAAACTTCAATAATATACTTGAGATTGAGAAAGATATCATCTGTATTTTGTTTATACATTGTTTTACTCGAAACTTATTGAAGTTATTGGTTAACTATTGATGCAAATGTATGGAGATATGTACATCACGATACACAAAA